GTCTCATGTTTTCACAGATTCTCATTCTGTTTCTGGGCACCATCACCGCTCAGATCACAGGTCAGGTGGTGTGTTTGTTTAAGTTTGTACCTGAACAAGGTTTTACAGCATTAATAAATACCATACTATATGCATCTATTTTGAAGACATTTAATTCAGTTAACTTTAATTTCATTTATATAGCGCCAAATCACAAGAACAATCAAACAGGTATATATCCTATAATAATAAAGGTAACAACAGTGATTTTAGTGATGGACAGAAAAACACAACTTTATCGGTCACCTCCACAGAGCCTAAACATTACAGTGTGGGATCAGCCCAAGTCTTTAAAAAATACATCTTTGGAGTTGAACAGACTGTTTTTCCTTAAAGTAAAATATAAATAAATGAAGGGCGGCCGAAGATTTTTGGATGTGTGTGTGATTTTTTTTTTCAATAAAGAAAATGTTTGTTTGTTTTCCTTAAAATATCTTACGGCTTTTTATTTTTTTAAGGCAGGATATCCGGTTGTACCGGAAAACCGGCTTGTCACCATTCAAGAGAAATGGCTGCTTTCTTTATTACAATATATTAGCAACAAAGCTACAGCAAGTAATGTTTTCAAAGGGTAGCACTGTGCTTTTGAGACCAGTAGCGGCACAGTTTAGTGGTGTAAAGTAATATAAACGTAAATGTTGCGTCGCAATTTGTGTGAGTTTTGCTGTGAGCCACCTGTATGCCGGCTAGCGAGTAGCTGCAAAGCCGAGACGTCGCTCAGCCAGTCTTCCAGCCCGGCTGCGGTCTGTTGATGGTACACCGGATCTCCAAACAGATCCGAACCGCGTGTTTTGGTTTAGCCGAAGTTAGTAAATCAGGGAACCCCGGGCCTAAATGCCAGAACAAGGCCCCAGGATGAATGGCTTTTCTATCGGTGAGCTGTGCTGGCTGTTCTGCTGTCCACCCTGTCCGAGTCGCATCGCGGCCAAACTAGCTTTCCTTCCACCGGAGCCCACGTATTCCGTGCACACCGACGCTAACGGGGTGACTAGCTTACATTTAACCGAGCGGGCAGACTGGCAATACTCCCAGCGAGAGCTCGATGCAGTGGAAGTGTTCACCACTAGAAGCAGCCGGGGTAACCGGGTAGCATGCATGTTTGTGCGTTGCGCTCCGAACAGTCGCTACACGCTGCTGTTTTCCCACGGTAACGCTGTGGACCTGGGGCAGATGTGCAGTTTTTACATCGGCCTGGGCTCCAGGATAAACTGCAACGTGTTCTCCTACGACTACTCAGGCTACGGAGTCAGCACCGGCAAGCCTTCAGAGAAGAACCTGTATGCGGACATCGAGGCGGCCTGGCAGATGCTGAGGAACAAGTGAGTATAACACATGGGTGTTGTGGAGCAGACACTGCCTACAAGTGTGCTGAGATAAGGCCCACTACACAAATGCTTTGGGCTCAAATTGTGGTCAGAAATATTTTGTACTTGTAAATCAGACTGTGTAGTTGTTAGTTTTGTAACCTTGTAAACCAAAATATCTGAAAATTTTATGTGTGCATGTTATGTCTCATCTGTGGATCCACAGATGAGAATTTTTGTGTGTGTTATAAAAAAAGATTTGTTTGTAAAAATATTTACAAAAGTTACTTTTTTTGTTGTTGTTAATGTCTGCTTACAGATACAAAGCAAAAAAAATTGTGTAAAACTCTGCACTCCTTGGCTGTGTGTAACTTTCAGCTTGCAAGTATGAGTTTTGACCCGATTTTTCTTCCTTTCAGCTGATTGGTCAGTGTCCTGTCAATCACAAATTTAGCTATCCAATCAGAGAACAAATGGGTTTGGCAGTCGGAGGGACTCTTTACTGAGGTTCAGGTCCTGGAAGGGTCAAGGCGCCAGCGTTTTCCTTCATCACCACAAAGGAAAACGTTCTGTGCGTGTCGGAGTTCGGTGAACGTTTTGTCACAGGTGTGCGTGCAGGGACCTCCACAGTCTTTTCAACGGCTCTGTGGACCTCGGGGAGCAGTTTTGTGGAAATGACACACTCTTGGCTAGTCGGGATAGTTACAAAGCTTTCTTAGTTATGATTGAGTGATTCATGTTTTTACTTAAAAACTTGAACATAATACAACACACACTCTCATAGAGGATAAAATCAGAGATGCGTTTTGAAACGACGAGGAGCAGGTGCATCTAGTACACGTGGAGCAGCCACAAGAAAACAACATAAAAGCTAGCGCAGCAGCAGCACAACACAAATTGTGGATTCTTTGCTCTTAGTTAGCTGTGAGCGCAGCGAATGCAACATCTGATGTGAAAGGGCCTTTATCCTGTGCAGTGTGACTCACAGCAGTGGTCCCGGGTCAGCCCTGACTTTGTTAAAGTAATAATAGTAATTCTGACCACTGGTTTACCACAACTTTATCCTTTCAACAGCTACTGAAAGTTAAGGGACCTAGCTTGTATGAGCTTTGTGGGATATTTATATAGAGATCCTCCAGCTTCAAACTGTATTGCCCTTGCAGGACCTGAAGCTCAGTAAAGCCCCTCTGACAGCCCAACCCATCTGTTCTCTAGTTAAATCTGTGAAAAGAAGAAAATTCAGGTCAAAAATCATACTTGCCAGTTGAAACTCACACACAGCCAGGGAACTTGAGTTTTCCACGTAGTTTTTTGCTTTGTATCTGTAACCTGAACAAAAACAAATTTGTAACTTGTGTAAATATTTTTTACAAACACAAATTCTCATCTATAGATGCACAAACATAACATTTTTAGATATTTTGGTTTACAAGGTTACAAAACTAACAACTACACAGTCTGATTTACAAGTACAAAATATTTATGACAACAACTTGAGCTCATAAAATGCGGCTAAAGTGAAACAGAGAAGTTGCTGGAAGATTACATGGCACAATATTAGTCTTTGCTATAAAGTGACTTGTGGAATTTCAGCATTTTGTTTTGCCAGTGGCTGTTAAAAACTGCTGTTTAGCTGCTAATAAAGCTGCCCGAGTACATGCTCAGGGCTAAAGAAAGGTTTGGCAGGTGGAACCATTGGAGATGTGACTCACCTGTTTTCTGCTGTGTAATCAACTCATCTGCCTCTGGTTTCCTGCTCATCGTGGTTTCTATAAATACAGTACAGTATGTTACCTGCACAGGTTTTCTTTCATGGATAATTTTAATTAGGGCTGATTTAGTCACTGATTTCTAGAATCGATTCGATTTGATCCACAATTCGATTTGAATCAATTTGAATCGGGTAAATTTTGCCTGATCACGTATCAGTACATTTCCATATTTCTACAAAAAGAAAACTGACACTTGTGAGACTTTATCAAAGGTGTGAGCATCACAGCAGAGGCCTTTGTGTTGAAGTAACTGAAGATAAAACACAGAAAAAGATGAAGGCGACTTTGCTGGTCTGGGATTTTATAGCAGATGACCTTAAAAATATTCTGCAGTCGATCAAAAACGAAAGAAAACCATGAATCAACATATGAACATTACCTGATGCTGCTGACGTGAAGCAGAGCAAAGTTAGAGGTTTTATTTGAGACACAGCTAAGCCTTTTGCAATTTTGCATAATTTTAAAAAGTTTAAATTTGTTCAGTAGCCTATTGAACAGGTTTTTCTTTTCGGAAGTAAGTAGAAGGGAAACAAACAGCGTCCGACAGCCTGTAAACAACGGTAGACTTGTGCGTAACAAGCAAGCGAATAATGGAGAAAACAGATTTTTAGACGCGAAACTGTTCTTGAAGTACAGAGAGAGAGAGAGAGAGCTGTGCATGAAGTGTGATTTTATCCTGGTGGAAGCCAAATGGGAAAAGTCAGAGTGAATTCATGACGATGTTTATGTGAAGCGTAGTTTGGATCTTATTTTGCATCTGGTTCAGTCAATATTGTTTGGAGAGAGATAAAACCTGCAGCTTCAGAATCTAAGGCAAAAAAGACGTAAACACAAAGCGCCGACCCGCCGAAACATCAGAATCAGCGAGCTGTCGCCTTTCAGCCCCGACTGTGTCCGTGCCGTCGGTGAGAAAGGCGACATCTCACTGATCCTGATCCGTCGGCGGGTCGGCGCTTTGTGTTTACGTCTTTGTGCAGAATCCGTGTTCCTGCTCTCATTTACTGTTTTAGCTGTTTGGTGGTGGTTGAAATGTTGTGAGGTTTCACCTGAGATTCTGGCGTTTCGGGCAAAATACATTTATATTTAAAAATCGATTCAGGATATCAAGTTATCCAAGCCAGAATGTCTTAGAATGAAGTTGGTTTGGAAACATATTCAGCGATGCTTCATCTCCTGCTTTGCGTTTCTGTGGGCGCCCCATCTACAACATCCTCCTACTGCATACTAAAATATGACTCTCCCAGAAGAGTGTTAATGAAGAAGGCTGTCAAGGCTTCATGGCCTGAGCTGCAGCACACACTTTATGGTGCTGCTGTAAATGGTGGAAGAGAGTAGCAGCACTTAAACCTTTTGTTTGGACTCGTTTTCATACTTTGAATCTAAACCATCTCCAATGAACAGATGGTTTTTCTTTTTTAACCTCTCCAGCTCCTCGTCGATAGCGTGCCTCATATGTCCGTCCTTCATGCTGTCTCTGCCTGCAGGACCAGACTCATCATTGAGTTCTTTACTTTTTAACAGTAACAATAACTGATAAAAGATATTAGATAACTTAATGGTGGTCAAAGTTACCTATCAAGACAATTTTTACCTAATTTTCCCATTGATGCATTAAATTATTATTGCCATTGTGCTTTGACTCAAACATTAATGAGATCTACAAAGCCATAGTTTCATCTCAGACCTCTTGCAACAGAAATGTGTCCATGTGTGGACATGCACGTGCAGGTTCATGGCTGGAAGTTGGGTAGTGGCTACACTACAGCTTGGAGCTGGGTCGTGTTTTCCACATTCTTGAGGTATGTCGGGCTCATGTACAGCAAGAGGAAATATACATTTTACATTAACATAAAGTAGTTATAACTTTCCAGTGTTATTATGAGAATTCAGTGGATTAAGTATTTAATTATGCAAAAACTGCCAATCACGATTTTCCAACACTTGAAATCAAACAGTGATTTGTTGTATTTCTGATGATGAAACAAGAGGATCATAAACCACTTACATTAATTAATTATCACAAAAATCAGGCAGCTAATCCATTTATCAACATCCAATTCCAGACTAATGTTTTTGCGTTTTGTGTCTCTTCATATTTAATGCTTACACTTGTTTCATATACTTAATCAGCACGTAAGTGAAGATTGCTGTAAGTCAAGAAACAGCAGACTTCATCAAACATCAGTGCTTTCATGACCTGCATGGACATCAAAGAATACAGTCACTGAGTTTATTGTAAACTACTAAATAACATTAGGATTAAAACTACTAAAAACGAAAAGAAACATTTTTATTAATCAGCAAAATGATTTGCTCTTCTCTTATTTTCGCTCAGCCTCAAGCTGGTTTTATAGTCGAGCGGAGAGAGTGTGTCCG